GTTCTGTATGCTGCTAAACATCCTACAGTGCACAGAACAGCCCCCTACAACAAAGAATTGTGTGGCCCCAAATATCAATAGTTGCCTGGATTAGAACAAATCTCTCCCTCCTGTTTACTCTTCAGACACCTTGTCTGGGCCTGTGTCGGGGCACTGGCCTGACTCCACCAGGTGCTGGAGTTAGCTGGTTGGCCTCCTGGTACAGCAGAAAGAACGCAGGCTCTAAATCTTGGCGCAGTCATCCACTGGCTAGGACCTAGAAACGGTCATTTAGCTTCTCTGAGGCCATTTCCTCATCTGAAAAAAATGGAAATTAGAATCCCTTTGCAAGGTTATGATAAGGATTGCCTAATACACTCTGTGTAGAGCACCTGGCACATGGCAAGTGCTCAATAAGTTACAGGGACATGTCTTACTAGCTACAGCCCAGGAGGCCCTAGTAATGTCTTGCATATCTTTGCATCACCTGCAGCATTGTAGGCTATTCTATGCACATAGTAGACACTCAGAAATTGTTGTTAAACTAAAGTGTAGTCTTTCATGGAAGCCAAGTCTCCAGGAATAAGCCCAGCCCACCTCATGAACCTAGAGTCCTACACATTTAAATGGTTCTGATTAGTGCTCAGGATGCACCAACATCTCAGCCTGTTTCTCCCTATCTCCAAGTCTCGGGCCCTTCCCATCAGCAGGGAGGCTGAGATTGGCACAGTGTTTCTTTCTGGGACCGCCAGAAGCCCTGGCCACTGCTTGAGAGCAACTACTGCAGCTCAGCCAGTCCTGGCTGACGGGCTTGATAACCTGCCACTAGCCAAACATCTGCTACTGTGCGTGGAGAAAAAAGTCAAAGGAAATGCCAGTTTCCTAATAGGAGGGATGCAAGCCTGCATGAGTATAATCTGCCTGGAAAATGAGAGGGGACACCACCAGATTGAACAGCGCCTTCTTAAATACACACCCTGTCCACACCCACCCACTGACACACACGGCTCAGCCACACCCTGAAACTAATATGGGAAGACCATCTCTACCCCTTGCCACTTCAAGGCTTTCAGGGACTCACCTATTACCAGCTCCTCCTCTGCTAGAGAGGACATCAGGGAAGGCACACGGGGCCAGGAGGGAGGCCTGAGTGCAAATGTGATCCCTGCCTCTAACTGGCTGTGCAATTTTAAGCAAGTCCCATCACCTCTCTGAGCCTTAGTTTCCCATCTGTGAAATGAGACACGGACAAGAAGGATCCTTCAATCTATGATATTCTGCGCTCTTTCTATGGCCAGTCATGGCTTCTCTCCCACATAGGCTTGCTGAATGCCATGCTGACAAACGCTGATCTATTCCAAACCCAGGCCTTACTGCTCCTCCAAGGCCCTGGATCTCCTATTACTGTAGGAGGTGGTCCCCAGAGAATGGCAGGGTAGAGCTATCTCCCCAACTGTTAAAGTTCTCTGGAATAAACACAATGAGCCCTGCCCCTTCTCAGCCCTCCGAGGCCAGGCCAGGCTGCCCAGGAAGTATCAGGTGGGGACTCAGATTGCAAAGATACATGGCGACACAGACACTCTGCCAGCCCACAGGAATCCAGGCCAAGAACAGATAATGCTTATACGAAGCATGCCCCATAATTGCCAGGTGTCTAAGAGCTAACTGCTCCAGGCACAACATTGCTCTTAGCTGCCTCCTCCAAATCCCTTAATAAAAGGGATCCAGGCACAACCATTGACTAAACGGAGAACTCCACTTCAGATTCCCTCACCTGTCTTATGCCTGAATTCCCCTTCCCTCCAGGCTCCCAGCACTCTCACTGAGCAGTGTCCAGGTCACATAAGCTCCAGGGCTTCCCCTGACACTCAGAGAGCTGCATCTCACCTTCACAGGGCTTTCCTTCCTGTGTGACCTGGAGCACAATGCCGCTGTCTGCCAGCTGTCCTGCACTCTTGGCTAAGAGACAGGCACAAGGTGGCAAAGAGAAAAGAACACCAACTCTACAGTCGGAACCCCAGCTGTGCCAACTTGGGCGAGTTATAATCCTTAATCTCTTTGCATCTCAGTTTGTTCATCTGTAAACTGGTGTCAGCAAAACTCACCTTGTAAGAATGTCCTGAGGGTTAAAAGAAACTATATGTGAAATGCCTGACCTACACTAGGTGCTCAGAAAAGGGTGCTATTTTTATAAGCATTTCACCCACTTGACTGAATAATGCATTTCCAGGCATGAAAACACAAACAGCTTGAGAAAGAAGCAATTTAAAACCAGAATTTCTTTCAGCACTTTATTCTTAGTGAATTGGATTCCCTTTGGATTAAGGAAGAATAGACTTATTCTCCTCTAAGAATTTCAGACAGGTGCTGAATCCATGGAGAACTCCGATTTTGTCCTTACAATCCCAGAGTGGAGGTCAGATCCACACGGATTGAGGTTTTCAGGTTATGTGAAGCAAGTCACTTCACTGGTCAGACCAGATGGTAGTGGTTCTCAAGCCCGGCTGCACATTAGCATCCCTTGGGAGCTTTTCCAACCCCTGACTGTGCAAGCTCCACCCAAGACCAATTTCACCAGAATCTCTGCTGGGCGAGGCCCGGGTATCACTACTTTTAAGAGCTCCCTGGATGATTCTGATGTGAGATGCACTGGACAGGAGCTCTCTAAGATCCCTCCCAGGCATCCTGGTGCCTACAACAATGTACGATTCAAAATAGACACTTAGTATATGTGTGTTGAATAAATGAATAACGAGTCTGACTCATCTCTTTTGCTATTTCCATATTCACAATGTATGAGGTAAAAGAAGAAGAGAGTTGAATTCTAATAATTCCAGAGTTGCGCTATCCAATAGAATCTCCTGCAACAATGGAAATGTTCTATAATCTATGCTGTTCAAAACAGTAGCCATAAGTCATATGTGGCTACTGAGAACTTAAAATGTGGATAGTGTGACAGAAGAACTGAATTTTTAATTTCATTTAATGTGAAATAGGCACATATGACTGGCTGCCATATTTGACAGTGCAGACATAGAGTGTCTACCTTTTATAAACACATCTATATCTGTGCACCCCCACATCTCTCTTTGACTAACAGTACCCCATTTTCACTTAGGGCAGCCCCCTGACCCCACTGCCTACCATCTTTGGGGGACAGCTAATAAAGTTGCCCTGCCCTTCTCCAGCTAAGGAGGTAGGCCCAGGTCCAAGGTAAGTCAACCAGATTCTCCTCTCAGGGAACTTGGTTCTAGCTTCAGTGTCACAAGAATAGAAAATCGGAGCAGATTAACACCAATGTTGGTGTCCTGAGACACTGTGTGTTGGTTTCCAGAACATTAATCCAGGGTGTGACAAGAACAACAGTGACAGCCAATGGGAGCTAGGCAGCATTACTGTCATCCCTGTCATCATTAAAGTCACCTGTACCTAGCAGCTCATCCCTGGTATGCCAGCTCCTGAACTGGGTGCTTCAGTTGCCCAGCTTCCCGGGGCATCATTTCTTCATCTGTAAAATGGGAATTAACTCATCCTATCTGGTGATTGACGCTGGCTGTGGCCTGAGAGCCTAGCTGGAGATGTCAGCCAGAATACCCCATGTCGCCTCTCCATGTGGCTTGGGCTTCCTCACAATATGGTGGCTGGGTTCCGGGGGTGGGTGTCCTGAGGAAGAACGAAAGTGACAGGAGAAATGTCTCCCTTTTATGACCCAGGCTTATGGGGTACATTGCATCACTTCCACCACATTCTATTCATTAGAAGCCCGTCACTAAGTCCAGTCCACACTCCAGGGGAGGGGAAACAGACTCCATCTTTTCAAAGGAAAAGTGGTAAAGAACTTGCAAACATTATTTTAAACCACCACAACCATTTCGTCAGCACAAGAGGCAAAGTGCAGGGTAAAAACTAAGTGTCTGAAGAAGTGAGACTTCTGTTCAAATTACGAGCTGTGTGATCTAAGGGAATCACCCTCTGAGACTCAGCTTCCTCACCTGTACGGGGTGCAGGGTGCAGTTGCTGGTCCCTGGTGGTGTTTACATGCTTGGAGTCTTCTTGCCTCAGTGAGCTTAATAGGATCCCCTCCTAACTAGCTTTCTTGTAGTCCTGTGACCCTTCCGGTCACTGATCATCCTTGGTTCTGACCCCGGAAGCAGCAAGAGGTTGCTATTGTTGCTCAGGGGACCTAGAAAGTTTGGACACCAGGAATCACTTTAAGAAACAGATGGAGAACCACTGAAAGCCTCCAATTCTTCAAGGCCTTCCCAGTCCTAGCCCAACGTGGAAACCTCAGCTTGTCAGAGAGGAAGATGGTGAGAACCTCCGGAACCACAGACCTAAGGAAGCCCAATCTGCCCGGCGGGGCCAGGAATCTGCATTTACCCCCACGAAACTTATTCACACTAACTCCTAGTGGGAGAGAGGACAGAAGTCTTAAAGCACACATGGCTATTGGTCTCAGTTTAGTGAAGTTTCTCATTTATGCTCCCTGTTCTTGCCTTTTCCGCGTTACAGGTCCGGTGTGTGTGTGGGGGGGGGGACGTTGGGTCTCCGCCGTCCTGGGCCCACGCACACTGGGCCGAGCTTTCTACCTTCTTCTGGGGGGTGCTGACAGTCCCCAACCATAGCCTCCCACTCCCATGGGTTGCGGTCCCAAGACCCTAGGGTGCAGCACGCCCTCTGCCAAGGGCGCGGGGTCGCCCAAAGCCGTGTCCAGAGAGGCGGATTGGGTGCGAACCTTGAGCACCCCGCTCCCACTGGTGCAGGTCCTGGGATGGAAGAGAGTGACTTTTAACCCTTTCACTTCCAGAGATAGTGACCCTAAGCTCCACACTTCTACCTTTAAGGAACGCGCGCGCCTAGAGGGCTCTACGCTCACCCAGTGTGACGACCTCGGCTGACAAACGGGGCAACTGAGGCCCACAGAGGGAAGTGACTATTAAATGTCCCAGAGGAAAACAGACGCTGAACCCAGTCTAGAACCCCGATCTTCCTGGCCATGCTCTCGCTTCTACACCGAGGGTCCCTACGAGGTACGCCCCCTAGGAAATTCCCGACAGTGGGCCTTCGGAGCCCGGAATCTCCCTGGAGTTTGCGCGCCGTTTGGCACATTGTAATCTTCCTCCGGAGCTCCGCAGCAGCTTCACGGCGCCGGGAGAGAGGGGTGAGACAGGAGTGAACGCCCACCTCCACCCTAAGGGTAACTCGGAGCGGAGGGATGGCTGCGGCAGGCGGAGGACCCGGCGGGAACGCACTGGCCCTTTAAGGGGGGGACGGAGCGCATGCGCGGCGCGGACCGGAGCCGAGCCGGGTGGGCGGCGGGCGGGCAGAGATTGTGGCCGGCGGCAGCTGGGCCCGGGGGCTACCCGGACGGTGGCGGCTTGAGCCTTGCCTAGCCGCGGAGCGGCGACCTGTGCGTGCTCCCGTCGCTCTGCAGGATGCTCTCCTGGGACTAGCGCAGCTCGCGCTGGCAGAGGCTTTATCTCTCGCATCCAGCTTCGTCCGCGGGCCGGGGCCGCGCAAGCCTCCGGACTTCCCCTCCCCGCCCCGCCGATCCTTCCTCCACTCCCTTGGCGGGGGCTGCAGGATCCCTAGGTTACAGCTGCGGAGCATCCTTCGCCCGCCCCTGCCGCGCCACCGCCCATGCTGCAACCAGTGCAGGGCGGCGACCCGGCAGCTGGAGCCCGTCGCCCGGTGACCTCAGCCTGGTCCCTGCGCGCCTCCCGGGGTGACCCCGCTGAGCCCCGGGTCCCGGAGCGGGGGCCGCGCCCGGCGATGGCTTGGCTGGCGCCGCGCCGCGCCAGGTGCCCCTCTTCTGCCCGCTGAGACGCGCCCGGCTGGGAATCGGCGGAACCTTGGCGCTCTCTGCCGCGCCCTTCCTCTTTCTGGGGGATCCGCTGCAGCTTCCCGGGAGCTAGGGAACAGGGGGCCGAGACAAAGCCCACTTTGTGCGAGGAGTTGGCCCCGGGCGTGGAATGTGCGCCTCAGCGCGTGCCCCTTCCCCACGCCGCGCCAGCTGCGAGTCTTGGCTCCCGGACACATCTCGGGGAGGAAATCGCACCCCCTCGCCACTCTTCGGTCCGGGGGTCCCGGCTCAGAGCTGATGCGGCCTGAGGTCTCCTCGGTTTCCCCCCGGAGCGCGAGCAGGTGTGAGCGTGCAGTATTTTGTAGAGGAATTTGTTCTGTCCAAAACTGGGACCTGGGGAGCCCAGTCGGCGTGGGCACTCGTGCCTTGACCCTCTCTGTGGCCGCAGGTCTGAACTGTCTGGCCTCCGTTTCCCTCCGACTTTTCTTCTCTCCGCAAGCCCACCCACACTGCTGCCCGTCATTGTTCTCGCTGTCAAATGGGGGGTGCTTTCTGAATGCTGCCAAGTTGGGATGTGTTCTCTTTATCCCGCTTATCAGACAAAACAAGGCCTCTAAAACTAACCCCAGACCACCAACCTCCTCTGCCCCCCACTTCACATTGAGGCACTGATTTTTTTTTTCTTTGAGTAGTATTTTATTGTACCGGAGCCACGCCCTGGTTTCTTAAAGGCGCCTTGCACTCTGTTTGGCCATGTGTTATCTCTGCAGCTGGTGTGTGGGAGGCCTCCTGTGAGCCACCTATTTTTTTCCTGCCTCCTGATACATCCTTCCACCCCCGTCAAAGATTTGGGGATGCCAGGAGGGAAGAAAGTGGTCGGTGGTGGCAGCAGCAGTGCTGCCCCCACGGTTGCCACCGCCGCCCCCTCTGGAGTCAGGCGTTTGGAGACCGGCGAAGGGGCCTCAGCCCAGAGAGATGAGCCAGAGGAGGAAGGGGAAGAGGACCTGCGAGATGGAGGCATCCCCTTCTTTGTCAACCGGGGTGGGCTGCCTGTGGACGAGGCCACCTGGGAAAGGATGTGGAAGCATGTAGCCAAGATCCACCCCGATGGAGAGAAGGTGGCCCAGCGGATCCGTGGGGCCACCGACCTGCCCAAGGTGAGGGGTTTGTGTGTGTTGTGGGGATCTAGGGTTTTCATGACCTTGGGGCTGGGAGAGCAAAGCCACACTTTCCTTGGTGATGTAGGTGACCACGCATGGTAAGATTTTAAAAGCACAGACAGGTTGTATTTGTCCAGAAGCACTTTGTCTCAACTGCCATTGGGGCTATTCTTTGAGGTCCACATACCCTGTTTCCAGGCCCTCCTCCGACTTTTAAAAAAATGCCTATGTTTTGTGGGCAGTGCCACAGATTAACAAGTATACTAATGTGGCTTGACATCTCATTTGCTAAGGCAGAGAACTGGACAAAGAGATAATGAATGACTGTGCAGGACACAGGGCTTCATGTGTTGAGAAAATATTTTCATGCGTTATCTCACTGAGTTCTCCAGCAGCTTTGTGAAGTGCTGTTTGGGGCCCCATTTTCCAGATGGGAAAGATGAAAACTCAAGTCGGAACTCAGGGTCTCACAGCCAGATAAGCAGCAGAGCAGAGGCCCAATCCCGTCTTCAAGTTCCAGGTCCTATGCTCTGTTGGACATTAGATCGGGGCAGTTAGAAAGGGCCTAAGGAGAAGGGTATAAAGTTAAACAAGTTTTCTGTGCATGGCTGGAACTCCTCCATGACGGCTGTCTTCAGTTGTGTCATCTGTGAAGGCTGAGGCTGTGTCTCATTCATCTTTGTTTTCCCAAGGGGATGTGTGCCTGGCACAGAACAGGCACTTATATGTGTTTGCTCAATGAAAGGGTGCTTGAGACTTTCTGTGTTGTGCAGTGCTATGTGGAATGCAGGTTGGATTTTTTTTTTCCTATAACATTTATGGTTAACTAAAGAAGCACTCCCAAATGCAGAGGCCTAAAATTCCCAAAGAAAAGCCCTTTGGACAGAGGTCAGAGCCCAGTGCTTAGTCCTGACTGCTCAGGTGAGAAGGAAGGGGGCCAGGGAGAGTGGCAGTTAGTGTGGATTAGACAGAGACATGTGGCCTGCTTTGTTTTTACCAAGTTGTTGGTAGAGCCATCAGAAATTGTCTTCTGGGAAATGGGAACTCAGAGCTTGAAGGTTGAGCAACTGCCAAATGTTTCCAGGGGAGATAAAATGTGGATTGATTTTGAAGGGCTACACAGTTGCCCTCTATACTAACTTAGAATTTATTTAGCTAATCTGCTATGGTTGGACATTGTTTCCAATAATTTATTCTTAAAATGAACACTGGGGTGAAAATTCTAAAATGTAAATTTGGGGTTCTATCTCTGGTTATTTCCTTGGGATAAATTCCTGGAAGAGGAAGTATTGAGTCAAAGGATATGACCATCAGCCCATACTGCCCACCTATCTATAGGACCTTAAGCAGACCCTTCAAGTTGTTTGAGCCAAAGTTTTCTCATCCGTCATATGGGGTTGATTGTGGTGAAGATTAAATGAGAGGCTGTGTTAAAGCACTTAACAAATGAAAGCCTCAAACCAATAGTGCTTATTGGATGTTCGTTACCTTTTGCTCATCTTCATCAGGAAAGGAAGCTAGATTTCACTCAGAGCATTTGTGCCAATGAGGCCAGAGCCACACACTTCTCCCAAATGAACAAGTTGGTGTTAACAGATGGCTCTCCAGTCACACTGCTTATGTCTAAGTCAGGCTGTGGAAGAGTGTGAATGGTTTCCTAAAGGACTGTCACCATTCCTAGAGACTACTAAATAAATAAATAACTCAATAGCAACTGGTCTGTAATGTCATCCTCAACCTTCATTTATAGGAAAAACACCAAAGAAGCTACTAGGGGGTTGGGGGGAGGATAATAGTGTCATGACTGACAAGGGTATGGTAGTGTGGAAAGAATTTTCTGAGAAGATTGGGAAAATTCAAAACTTTCCCTCTTCAAACCACGGGGAAAATGTTGCAGATAGAAAACCTGCCCAAGTCTGTGTGAGTGAGGTTCCTCCTTGACCTTGGCCCAGAGTAGAAAGCAGCCCTAGAGTCTGAGAGGCATCAATGCTTGTATCCCAGGGTGTCAGCAGCAGAGTGGACTGACCACTGGGCTGACCCCTCCCTAAGTAGCCATGCCCTTGGATCGGGCACAGAGGCATTCTTTGCTGAGGTCACACCATGGTTGGCCCAAGAGGTGTTTTGTTGGGATGGTACAATGTTTTAGAAGATCACTTGAGCCAAAATTTAAAATTGGGAGATTTTATATAAAGATCCAGATTTTGGGCATCTTTTCAGAAAAATGAGAAGATCTGGGAACAGAGAATCTGTGAATCCACATGGCAGTAGCAGCTGGAGCTGAAGAGGGGTTCCCCTCCCCTAGTCTCCACCACTCACTCCCAGCCTGCCTTCCCCACTTATGTCACCTGTGTGGCCCCTGCAGGTGGTTGAGTGTGGGATCCCTGCAATGTAGTGTGATAGAGAGCTCTGCAGTCAGATCTACCATGTTCAAATCCCGCTTTTCCCATAATGGCTTCTGTAATGAAGGTATGCAACCTCCTTGTGCCTCAGTTTCCTCAGGTGTAAAATGGTGATAAAAACAATACCCATTTCCAAGGATGTTGGGAGGAACTGATGAAGTAAAAGCATGTGAAACAGGTGGGCGTGTAATTCGTACCCATGGAGCAAGGACTGAGGGTGCAGCCACCCCACAGGCGCTGAGGAGAAATGTCCTTTAAAGGATGGAACCAGTATGTTAAAGGGCAGCCATTTCTAAAAGGATCCCGGATCCAGGAATAGTTTGTGTTCCTTCATGAGAATCTCACCTTGATGGTCCAAGCTGCCACCACTTTTAAAAGCTCAGTGGCCGCCTATTCCAAACCCAGCTGCTCAGATCTTCTGACTGTGGCTCTGGCCACAGGGCTCCTACAGAATTCGAATTTGGACGCCGGGGTCAGCATGTGCTGCCCGGGAGCTTTGGCACACACTGCAGTGACAGTGACCAGGAGATGTACTTTGCTGGGTGTCTGACCCTGGTGTAAGGCCTCGACATGAATGTCTCACTTAGGCCCTGAGGTTGGCTCTGTGATGGTGCTCACTTTACAAATGAGGCATTTGAGGCGCAGAGACACTAAGGAGCTTGATGCCAGACAGCAACGGGCAGGGCTGAGATTTAGATAGTGATGGTCTGGCTCTGGAGCCGGCTCTTTCAGCCTCTAGGCTGTCCTGCTTCTTGTCCACACATCCAGCTACAGGCTGTCCTTCCCCCCCAAGCCTCCTTGGTGTGCTGGACTGAAATGGAGTCCACCAGGGAGAATGTCGGAATAGAACTCAGCACTTTAGGAGATCCTGGAGCAAGGGTAACCCTCGGCCTTGGTAGTAGAGGAGGAGTTGTCCCTGAAGAGATCTGGGTAGCCAATATCACTCACCCCTGCTGTATGTACCCCAGCCTTGGACAGCGAGGAAGCATTTCCTGGTTTGGGGGTAGAGGTCAGGGCAAATCCAGACTACCTGTCCTAAAGTGAGCCTGGTCATTTGGGTGTACAGAGACTTACTTATTTTTGAGTGAATGGGCGTATACTTGTATGAACATTCAGAAGAGCGGTGTCGGTGCTGTCTGCAGTGGTTAACTGGAGACGGCATGAGTCGTGCAGCTGGCCGGACAGCTCCTTCCAGCCAAACCTCAGTGATGGTGGCCTCTGAGGCCCTACTCGTGAATCCTAGGTCTTCTTTGACTCTTGTGGAGTCATTTCCTTTTGCCACAGCAGTCAGTTCCTGGGTATTCTCTCTCTGGATGGCAGGGGCTGCCCTCCTAGGCGCTGCCGGGCCTGGCCGGGGCTGGCTGTGGTGAGCGTAGGCGGAGGACTTTGGGGCTGCAGCTTGCTCCTTGTTGGCATGTCTCCAGGGAGGGCACACTTACAGTCTGTAGCCAGAGCTCCTGGAAATCACTGCATGCCTTCACTTGAGAAGCGGAGATGAACTGCCTGCCTCTCAGGGACCTTCTCCCTGAGGTCAGGTGCCATGCTGTTTGTAGTAAATTGCAAAGTCATTCCTCTCCCACCCCCACCCCATATCCTCACACAGAGGAGGCCAGGCCCTCAGACAGTTCTGGGTCCCATTTGGCCCAGGTGGTCAGGCCGGAAGAAGGAACCCCTCCCCTCCAATTCGAGGGCTTTTATCCCCCTGGTGACTATAAGTGATGGCACCAGTTTGGGCAGCTGTGTGGTGTGAAAGGGGAAATAGCTTCTTCCAGACAGAGGTGTCAGCGCTGGGGACTGCCCAGACAGGAAGGAGGGGGCTCGCGAGTTGGGGGGAGGAAGTTGATGCCCAGCTGTGGCTCCTGGGCCTCCCCTCCTGTGTCTCGGCCCTTTGCAGTGAGTAGGTGTCTCCCAGAGACTGTCCTGTGCCCCTTGGCTATCAGCAACACCCCAGACAGGAATGTGCAGTGATCAGTGTGTGTCACTTACCTGGGTTAGAGCCCCAGCCACGACGCCCACGTTATTTAAAAGGCTGTGCCCCGTGAGCCAGCATCTTACTACAGGGAGAGCTCCCCCCACCCCAGCCCTACTTCAAGTTCACACGGGGCTCCTGCTCTACCCCTTCCCTTCACACACACCCCTACCCAGAAGACCGCTCTCAACAGCACCCGCCTACGGTGGGCCCCATGTGGTCAGGGGAAGGGGAGCGGGGCTGGGGGAGAGGGGCTGTGAGGAGAGGCTAGGACCTCTCTATGTGATGTGCCTGAGGCCACCTCACAGCTGGCAGTGCTGGTGGCCAAGGGGGAACCCAGAGGAGTGGGACTTGTCCCTGGAAATCTGGGTCTTCTGCCCAATGAAGTGTGATCCGTAACCCCAGGGGACCCTAAATGGTACTTCTCTTGGCCGCCTCAGCCTCACTGACTTGTTGCAGCAAACTGTCAGGATTCCGGCTCCCCTGAACAGAGAGGGGGCTTGGGCCCCAAGGACCCACACCTGCACGGTGGCCCCTTATCCTGGAGACTGCCTGGTTGTTGAGAGGACAGCCTCGGGGGGCTGCAGCTTCTGAAGTAACTCCCAGCAGCCCACGGCCTGTCAGTTCCCAGCCATCAGGAGGTACCTGCCTAACACCCCATCGGTCCCCTTCATGGGCCAGGCACTGGAAAGTCTCTTCTGGTGGAGAGGGCTGCCCAGTTGCCTGGTTATCCACAGGTGTGGCCTGGCAGGGAAGAGAGGTTTTGAAGGGGAACCAAGGTTCCTGTGTCTCCATGGGAACCTCTCCAAAGTGGCTAGGCCATGACAGGTAGAGCCACAGTAAGACCTGTCCCAGAGCTTGTCCCTCTGGCCTGCCACCACTGACTTACTCCTTGACAGTTCAGGTTAGAGCTGGAAGGCCTAGTCAGTGTGCTGTGATGGGGGGAGGGGGGCAGGGGGGGTGACACCACCTACTGAGGGTGTGTTCACCCCTCACTGGAGTGCTCCCCCAGCCCAGAGCAGGGCCCTGAGAGGATGGTACACCAGGTAAGCCAGTTTTGATCCAACACTTGAACCAAATGAACTCCATACCCAAATGTACTTAACACCAATATTGGCTCTAAGCTTTGAAATGAATGAATATTTTAAATTCGAAATAGTCGGTGACTCAACCTGTATTTTTGTAAAATTATTAGAGAAATACAAAATTGGAACATCACCATAAGCTCCAGATTAGGAATTTTGTCAGGTGCCAGGAGGGAGAACAACGGCCATGGCGGGGGCCTGGCAGGGGCGTCTGGAAGGGGTTGCCAGGGAGAAAGGCTCAGGGTAGCAGGGCAGTGGGGCGGCCTCCCTGCGGTGTGGCTTCCCTGGGGTCTGACCCGCCTGTGGGATGGGCTGGAAGTTCCAGGGTGAGCCTCCCTCTGTGACCAGGGCTCTTTCTGCACCCCCAGATTCCTATACCGACTGTGCCTACGTTCCAGCCCTCCACACCTGTCCCTGAGCGCCTGGAAGCCGTGCAGCGCTACATCAGGGAGCTGCAGTATCCTTCTGGGTCCAGAGTCATGGCCGCTGTCTGGCTAGCATTCTGGTCCAAAAGCCGAGTGGGGCTTGTTTTCAGACTGGGCTGGAGGGGTATCAGCACAGCAGCCTCATTCCACAGCCCCGGGTGTGCCGTTCACATAGCATCTCTGCGCACCTAGGTTGGGCAAGGCCAGCCTGAGTCTGCCTGAGTTATTGGAGGACTATTGGTGAATGCTAGACCCACTGTCTGCCACCTACTTCCTCCATGTGATGGGGCAAATGTCTCCAGAGCATCCTGCTGGTGGCCGGTCAAATCTAGGTCCATCAGCCCAGAGCCTCTCTGCTGTCCATCCAGCCCAGCAGAGGGAAAGAGGAGAAGCTCCCTTGGGGAGGTTTAAAAACCAGTAGTTTTAAAGGCATTGGGGTTGGCTGTGGGGGGTCCAGATGAAGGAGAAAAAGGAGTTTATTTTCCAGGAGGTAACTTCCACATCTTGGAATGTTCTCCCAGTGCTTCACCTGTTTCTTCCCTGGCAGGAGGCCAGTTGTCCAACATGGAAAGAGCTGGACCCCCTGAGTCCCAGATTCCGTGGTGTTCCTGCTCCGGGCCCCTCCATCCCTATGCCCTGCCCAGAGCTGTGTCCTGGGTTCTCTCCCCCAGCGCTTCTAGTTACAGGTGAGGCAGAGATGGAAGGACCAGGTCCTGAGTGGGAGAAAAGCCAGGCTGATTACTGAAAATTGGTTCCAACCCTTCCCTTCCCAGTAGGGAAATTTCAGCCTGGAGAGGGCAGGCGGCCGTGCTGGACCCCGGACCTCAGCCTTCTGCGCTTAGGTTCTGTTGCTTCTCAGCTGGTTGGAAGACTAAGTGCTGCAGAGAGCCGTCCAGAGCTCAGCCACTTGCCCAGCCCTAGCTGGCCGGGCTGCCTGCTCCACCGCTCCCTTCCTGGGACGGAAGGCCAGGGGAGAACCAGGGTGGAAGCCAGAGAGGATGAGAGAAAAGGTCAGAGAGGGGCCATGTTGGGGAGGAGAAGTCCCCTTCTCTCCCCTCCAGATGACCAGGTCTTGTGCATTCTCCAAGGTGCCTCTCGAGAATCACGTTATGAGGTCTTTACCCAGCCTGCTTCCCTGGGAGTGCTGGGCCCTAAGGTCTAGGAGATGGGTCGGGCGAGTGGAGCACGCGGCTTCCAGACCCAACCAGAAAGCCCTTAACCAGCATCACAGGTACAATCACACAGGGACCCAGTTCTTTGAAATTAAGAAGAGCAGACCCCTTACTGGGTGAGTATGGACACGCCCTGTCCCTCTGCACCAAGGCTAACAGTACCCCCACTGGTTTGGAGCTCCTCAGGGGGCCTTTAGGTGGAAGCTTGTGAGGCAGGCAGGGCCTCTCCCCAAAGGAGCATGCTGGCGGGGGACAAGCGGCCCCACTGCACTGTCACAGCTCCCTCATTGTATACTGTGGGGCCCTAAGGATGTCATAAAGAGGGAACTCTCACGAGATGAATAGCCTGGGCTCCCTTGATGAAAAGGAAACCCCAACATCCATGCTGAGCTGGGAGGGTGACAGAGAGCCCCCCAGTCTGCCTTGGTGATAACGGGGTAGTCCCAAGTGGACGTCTGTATATGAGCCACCTTTTTTCTGAAAGGTGGGCCTAGCAGGATAAGGCTTTCCACCTTCTCTCCTTTCCTTGCAACTGCCCGTGAACTCCCCATTGCAGGGAACCTGTGTGTCACCCCATTTGCCTTACTGGACTTCTGGTCATTTAGTACAAGGTCCAGTGTCTGAGCAACAGGGACCCCCTGGAGAGGGCAGACCCCCCACACACACACACACTGCATCGCTGGCTTCCTAGTCCGCCATGTGCCATGTAGACCCCTGGCTCAATTCACCCCACAGAAGCCCCGAGGGCAGAGGAAAGTGGAGTGAATGCCACAGCTGGGTCTGGGGGCTCAGCCCAAAGCTGTCCACAGATTCAAACCCCATATTTTAAAAATTAATGTGAATTTTACATCTTAATCTGCTCCACACATAATCTGTCCATGTTTGCTTTCTTGTGAAAAATGCTGTAAATGGTTTATTAGCTAAATTACTTCATTACCCCCTTTCCATGCCCTTGGGTGGAATCCAGCCTCCCTCACCCCAGAGCTTTGCTCTTGTCCTGTGGCTGCTGTGTGCCAGGGGCCCAGCTCCAGCCTCATTGGAATGGAAGCCTCTAACACCCTGGGCGAAGCCAGCGGCCAGGCTGCATTCTCAGACCTGGGGGCAGCATTCAGTGAGGAGGGAGGAACCAGGCCTCATGAATAGGCTGTCTTAAAGTGGCCTGAATTCCATGCTCAGGAGCAGGCTGGGGAGTCACCAAGTTAATTGCCTGAGATGCCCCGGCCAGGCCCCAGGCAGCTGGCCAGCTGTGGGGGAGCAGTTGCAACCAATTACAAGCTCTTCGGAGAAGCCATGATTGGATCAGGGGTGTCCACTGTGCTCCAGAAGGGACAAGGTCAATGCCAAGGTCCCCAGCATCCTTGGCATGCTGTCCCACTAGCTCCCACACCACCATGGCAGAAGGTCCCCAGTCCAGTGTCTGCCTGTGACTGCATGGCCCCCATTCATGCTCCCGGCTCCCAGAGGTCTTTGGAGCAGGAGCCTGGGGTGGGAGGAGGACGCGAAAGGGAAGGGAAGGGACCTCCTTGGTGGCTGCCTCTTCTCCCACCCCTTCCAGCTCAGGGTTGATGTGGGGAGGGGAGGGAGGTGCTGTCTGTCCTGGCATCTCTAGCCCACCTACCCCTTCCTAACGCTCCTGCACAGGAAGGGGCTGAAGGCTGTGTCCTCATGGCTCTGCCTCCCTTCCCCCAGGCTGATGGACCTGGCCAAGGAAATGACCAAAGAGGCGCTGCCAATCAAATGCCTGGAAGCGGTGATCCTGGGAATGTATCCTTTCTCAGGCCCGGGAGGGGCAGGCACACGCTCAGCTTGTCTGGGCCCCTTCTTCCTCTGGAAGGAGAGGTCTGAATAGGCTACTGGGCCCTCCCGGTCTCTCTCCCAGCAGTCATGAGCTTGGCCCCAAAGTGAAGGGGCCTGAGCTGGGGCTCAGCTCAGTCCCTTAGGCCTCAGTTGCTAACTTCCTGGGTTTACTGGGAAGCTCTTTGATGAGTCATGTGGACACAGTGAGCCTGTTCTCTGAACCCCAAATCAGGGCACATGGTCTTACAAAGGCTGTTGTTGTGCCATTTCCAAGAACCAAACAGCCTGGGAGAAGCAGGTTGAATGCCCGTGCTGGCATTTCCAGGACACGTTGATTTGTGGAGATGATGGAAGGGATCTATGAAACAGAACTGCCTTTTTAAAAAAAAGCAAACAGTTTCTCAGTCACTTCCATCCAGAAGACAGAATGGGGGCCTATAGCTGGGCCACCAGGGTAGCAAGGCAGGCAGATAAGCCCCCCAGTTAGGGCAGGGAGGGGAGGCAGGTGTTTATGGCCAGTTCTCTGTCCTGATTGGTCCAGCCCTGACACGTCCTTCGTGACCCCACATTCCTTCTCCTTCAGGAGTCACACACCAGAGTGGCGCTCCCACCCACAGTAAAGGAGGGAGACTGCTTCCCTACCCCCAGACACATAGAAAGCTGGCCCAGGCAGAATCGCATCGTCTCAGAGGCCTTTTAAGGGGTTACCTGGTGGCACTTGAGCAGGAAGGAAACACTCCCCTACCATCTGGGGAAGAGACTTCCCTGGGTCACTGCACACACACGGTGGCTGCTGTACTGTGCTTGTTCCCATGCCTCACTGCGCTCTGATCCTGTGCCTTGCTCATCTCTGTGTCCTCAGTCACTTACTCGCAAGGAGCCGTGCTCAGTAAGCACATCTCTGAGCCTCGGCAGCTTCCTTTCCAAAAGGGGACAATGGTAGTGCCCGTCTCACAAGATTGCTGGGACAATTAAATGAGTGGGTGCACGTAGGGCACTTGGCACAGTACGTGGTATCTGCTCCAAGCTTTTATCCTGTTCACTTCCTTCTACCCTTTTGTTCAAGACGAGTTTAATCGAGTCACTGTTACGTGCCCGCCTCAGAGCGGGGGCCCAGAGATGCAGCAAAGAACGTGACAGACAAGTCCCCCGTTCTTAGAAATTTACGTTCTAGCTGGGGAGACAGAAAATAAACAAGTAACCAAGAAATAAGTAAAATCATTCCAGATTGTGGGGCGTGTGCCATGGGGGAAAGAGTAGAGCAGATTTGCTTTAGAAAGAGAAGTCCGTGATGACGGCCAAGCCTACGGCAGGAGAAGGAGCTGGCAAGAGCAGCGGGGGAACGCAGCTCTGGTCCCAGGGAAGAGCTGGTGCCGAAGGGCCTCAGGTGGGAAATCCAGGTGGATGGAGAGGTGGAGCAAGTGAGGCGAGCGCACGTAAGAGGTGGGAGCGGGCAACTGGGTGTTGGCCTCCTAGGCCATGGCAACAGACTTGGTTTTATTTGCAGGGCAATCACAGTATGGGTGCGTATGGTGGGGTGGGGATGGTGAGAGAAAGGAAGGGAACAGAAGTGCCTGTGCATCTGTGAGGAAATGCATGTGTGAGAGAGAAAACGTGTCTGAGGGAATGTAGGGGTGAGGAGGCATGTGTGTGACTGACAGAAGGGAAAGGGAGAAGGGGTGCGGGGTGGCAGACTGCAGGCCTCTCATCCCTCCTTCCTTCGGCCACAAGGACTCTGGAGAGCGCTGCAATTTAGAGTGAGGGCCTCGCCATTAGCTATCATTTTATGAGCCCTGCTTGACATCATAACAGCAACCACCAATCACTGAGAGCCCTGCCCCCTAGAGATAGAGTTTATTGAGCACTTACTGTATGCCAGGCTCAATACTAGATGCCAGGATACAGAAGTGAGCAAGGCCGGGTGCCTGCATTCAGGGGCTCTCAGTCTTGGGGCCCCTCACACAGCTTCTCCCTCGCGGTGGGGTGTTCCAGTCTTGCCCCTGGGGCTGGCCCTGCACCTTTGCCTGGCTGGTTCCTTAGCTGGGCTGACCGGGCCAGTTACCTCACCAACAGCATGCCCACCCTGGAGCGCTTCCCCATCAGCTTCAAGACCTACTTCTCAGGGAACTACTTCCGCCACATCGTGCTGGGGGTGAACTTCGGGGGCCGCTACGGGGCCCTGGGCATGAGCCGGCGCGAGGACCTGATGTACAAGCCGCCAGCCTTCCGCACGCTCAGCGAGCTGGTGCTGGACTACGAGGCCGCCTACGGCCGCTGCTGGCACGTGCTGAGGAAGGTGAAGTTGGGCCAGTGCGTGTCCCACGACCCGCACAGCGTGGAGCAGATCGAGTGGAAGCACTCGGTCCTGGACGTGGACAGGCTGGGCCGCGAGGACTTCCGCAAAGAGCTAGAGCGGCACGCCCGCGACATGCGGCTCAAGGTGAGCGTGGGCCCCCGCCCTGCCCACGTGCGTCAAGGTCCCCCACCGTGGTGTGGAAATGGAGGGGCAGCCGCTTCCTAGTGGGCCACGCCGCCAGGGAATGTCACCACCCCACCCCCCAGTAGAGGTGGTGTGAGGAGCGAGGGGAATGACGGGTGGGAGATTTCCAGAGTGTCTTTGCTCAAAGGTCTGTATTGTTGAGACAGTCCCCTCAGGTAGGCAGGCCAGGGAAGGCTCCGGAAGGAGGCAGCAGGTGAGTGGGTTGGGTAGGGCAGGTCTTGGACACTCCCACTGGAGAGGACTGTGAGTAAAGATCCATTGGTGGGAAATCACGGCCTATCTGGAAGGAATATCTGGAAGGAATGGTGGGGCCGGGTGCGCACATAGCCTCCATCACCCCTGTGTATCCTGACTTGGCCCCTAACCCCCCCACCCCTACCTCCACCCCCATCACCACCAATTCAATAAAACAGGACCAGAACGAAGTCAGAAAAAGGAAGTCAGACCATGGAAAGACAATGAGATGATTATTTCTCCCTCTTTCCCACCCCCAGTGAACAGGAGGCAGAGGGACTGCTGTTCCCTGAGCAAGTGGGCTGACCTGATGAGCAGTTTGCCCCTGAGCCTTACAGTGGGCAGATTCTTGGCCTCTGCTTGGGTACCACTGGATTTGGGGTGCCTCCCCTGGGGCCTGCCAAGCCCCTCCTGGGTGTTCAGCCCCTCCCCATTGCTTAGTCACTGCTGTGCTGGGACTCTGCTCCTCCAAGCAGCCTGGTGCCACAGCCATGACTTTGGCATTTTCACATCCACTGATGCTCCCTACAGCCCTGGCTTGGGAGGCCCTGCTCTGCCAGCCCCTAGTCCAGGACCTTCTGTAGTGACAGCACCTTCCCCCAGGGCAGAAGTGGGCTGCAGCTGGCCTGCCGCTTTCAGGAGCGGCTCTCCTTTGCTCCAAGCTGGTCCTCCCTGTGTAGCTCTGGTTGCCCAGCTCCCTGGCTCCTGCTGCTGGAGTATTATTGTGTCTTCAGGGGAGCAGGTCGGATCTAGAGTTACCTAGTAGTTACCTAGTCTTTAATGCTATGATTCCCAGTCTGTTTCATGCTAAGGACTCCCCATGTTATTTGCCCCTCTCGGCATCCTCACAGTGTACTCCATGTTTTCAAAATTCACATCAAGCTGACTGTACTGCATACAGGATAATTCATCTGCTTTTCTCAGTTTTTCTTAATCAGAGACATAGCTACCAGTCTGAGCTTCCGACTGGCTCAAGATAACCAGTGTCACGCTTGGGGCTGGTAGGACCCCAGCCCAAAGTTCAGACTTAGGCTGCTTCCCCAGTTGGCATGGGCAAATAGCCCTTTTCTCAAGAGCCTCTTCCAGTATCAGGAAAGCTCAGAGACTTCCACAGCCATGCTGTTTCAGGAGCCACCTGGGATTGGGCAGCCCTGCTGCGGAACCCCTGCCCTGGCAGCTTTAGCGCCTGGAAAACAGGCTTGGGAAGACCTGGAGTCAAGGCCAGGGCAATCGCTTGGACTTCCTGGGTCCAAGCCTTGGTGCTTGTGGCTCCTACAGGGCAGGACGGGCTCTGGGGCAGCCCTGGAATGAGTCTTTGTTTCTTCTTCCCACCAAGATTGGCAAAGGGACCGGCCCGCCCTCCCCCACCAAGGATCGGAAGAAAGATGTGTCCTCCCCACAGCGGAGCCAGTCCAGCCCCCACCGAAGGAACAGCCGCAGTGAAAGGCGGTGAGTGATGGGTCAAGCCTGGGGAGCCGGAAAAAGGCTCTTTCCTTTTCTCTCATCTTCTGGATCCCTTTTTCTTGTTTGTTTGTTTGTTTTTCTCTCCCCACTCTTCTCATTCCCACCCTCCTCTTTTGCTCCCACTCGAGGGAGGTGATTTGGGGGGGAGGGGTTTGTGTGTTGACACCTCCAACAGCAATTCAGTCCTATTTCCTGAGAAAAGAGCAATCACTGGCCCCCTGGTTAGCCTGTCTGGGACCCTGGTGCTGAGCAAGAGACCAATACAGAAGGTCTGAGGAGAGCTTATGTGGGCGGGAAGGAAAGGAGGAGGGGAGGGCCCCTGCCAGTCAGTGAGTTCTCCAGGAAAATCTTTGGGTAAAGTGTGAATGAACATCAGATGGCAGCTAGTAGAGGGCTTTGAACGTAGCTTTTGCCCCTGCAAGAGTGTGGTTTTTCCCTATATCTGTAATAGACTAAGAAACATCCCATTAAAATTCTAGTCCGCACCTCTGATTTGTCTCCTACCTGTCAGTCTGGCTCTTGCTTTCAATATCATTGTCATTCAGGAGCCAATTCTCTGGTATGGTTCAGGGGCACTAAGCAGGCCTCCAATATCCAGCATCACTCACTTTGATCTAGGAGGCTTTTTGCAGAGAACAGAGTTCCTTTGCAGAAATTTACATATTAAGCTTTTACAGACAACTGCAGCCCAATTAGCTGAACTCCAGCAAGGAGCAGGAGCCTCTAAGAGTACAGGGACCACACTCAGGACAGCACAGGCAGGCCAGCATTCCAGAAACACACTTCCACTAGGACACTACTGCTGCATTTGGGGCCCCTTGGAGAATGAGGGGGGAAGCCATCACGGGAAGCCGCCTCTTGCTCCATCCTTCTCCACCTCCCTGATGGACCACTCACCCTTCTCCTCCTCTGCTCTCTCTTCCCTGCAGGCCTTCGGGTGAGAAGAAGCCTTCTGAGCCCAAAGCCATGCCAGACCTCAATGGGTACCAGATCCGGGTGTGAGGCAGGCGGCTGCACCCCAGCCTCGCCCACTTCTGGGACCAGGATCCACCTGTCAGAACCAGCCTGGCTCTGGGGAAGGGAGGGCTGGTGATAGGGCAGGGCAAGGGGCAGCAGGAAGTGTGGGTGCCCCCTCAGTCACCCAAGCTGCTGCCCTTCCCACTGGGCCAAGCTCCCTAACTTTGGGCCAAGAGGCAATTAGTATTTTATTTGGAGTTTTTAACTTGACAACTAAAGTTTACAGTATTTTGGAAACTAGTGGATCTGCCAATGGCTGGCAGGCCAGTGCTTAGATCTAACTGCCACGGGGCTGAGCAAGGAAAGGTTGCTGACTCTGCTGGTGCCCCTGCCCCTAGCGTCTCTCTAGGACTTGGGCCCATCCTACATATGGGAAATCTCCCTACCTGCTAGGCCTGGGGCAGCACGGGAGAGGGGTGGAGGTGTTCCTTCACTTCCGCCTGCCCTGGCAGCACCTTGACGCAGGGAAATGGAAGCATGGTGGGAAGCGTCCTGGGAGAGGTCTGTGTGGCCCATATCAGGAGCTTGACACAGGCCACCTCTGCCCCAAGAGCAAGAGCCCATGGCCCAGGAGAGCACTCAGGCCCTTGCGGCCCTGTGGACGGTACCGTGTGGAATGACACTGCCTGCTGGCACTCCCCGTGCGAGGGGGCTGTAAGAGAGCCCAGGAGACAGAACCACTGGGGAGGAGTTCTCTGGCCCCTAACTGGTCCTATGTAGCCCGGCTCTGCCTGTTTCTAAAGCTGGGGCTCCCTGCAGAGGGGCTGGGCTTTGCCAAGGGCCCAGACTTACACTGGGCTCAGCATACTGTGGGGGTTGAGCAGAGCTGGTTGTCTGGGAACTGGGGCTGGGGTGGGACACTTGCCTGGGTCTGTCCCGGGGCAGTCCCCATGGGTGGGCACTGCCCCTCCCCCTTTTCTATTCCCTCAGTCCTTGCTGGGTAAATGGAGACCAGACCAGGATGCTGTGTCCTAGGCGCACCTCCATTTAGCAGCCTGTTTAGGTTTGGGGGTTCCAGTGACGATCATAGGTAGCTCATCAGGGAAGAACCTGAACAGCATGCCCATTGGGCATGAGCGACCTGGAGGGCAATGAGAGATTCTGGAGAGAGGTTGGCAGGGCTGGGGGAAGGTTCTGGAGGTTCAAGCAGCAAGAAAGTACAAGGCAAGGGAGCAGTGTGGCCCCCGAGGAGGGACGGAGCCCAAGAACTGGGATGTGTACGTGAGAAAAGGATGTGGGAGAGTTTAGAACCAGGCTGCCTTGGGAAGTAGTGAGTTCCCTATTGCTGGAGATACTCAAGCAGAGACTAGATGGCTACTTGTCAGGAAGCTGTTGAGGATTCGGGTCATGGAAAGGCAGCTGGATGAGAGGCCATTAAGGTTTCTTTTTACTGAGAGGCTATGATTCAGCCAGGGGCAGCTGTCAGGCTGCAGAGGGGCTGAGAGCCTGGAAAAGGGAGGATCAGAACTAGAGATGTAAGTTCAAATGCCTTACAGGGCCAGGCAGGTGTTTAAAAGGAGGACTGTGGGGCTGGGTGGGGATGGTGGCAAACTAAGGGGACGTATATCCCATTAAAGCGGCTGCTGCTGCTCAGCTGTTCTCAGAGTGCAGGCCCTGCTGTGCCAGATGGTCTGATTTTTTCAGAGGTCAGAACTCTGAATTTTTATGTGAAATATCCTGGTTTTTAAATGTTGGCAATCAGTTCAGGAAATTTAAAAAGCCAACATGACAGAGAATGTCAGTTTGTAATCTCTAAAATAGGGAGAGCTTGTGCTGGGGAGAAGCCCACTGACATGCTTTGAGGTCGGAAGTATGAAAGCTCAAGTCTTCGCAGAGCAGGCTGGGCCAGGGCAGGGGCTTCCCTGCTGAGGCTCCCAGAATGGGCAGCGGCCCCGTGTTCATCCTCCTCACTTCCCCTGCAGACCAGAAACACACCAGGGACCCCTGTGGTTGCCATGTCACCAGAGGTGGTGGAGTGGAGAGTGCAGTTCTCAGCCTGCCAGGGAGATGGATGGTGCCTGGGAAGCAAAGAAAAAGGGAGGGAGACAGGATGTCTTTGCTAATCAAGCGCCCATCAGGGAAGCCACCAGGGGCTGGCAGCTCTTCACACCAGCAGCCCTTGGCCCAGAGCCAGGCCCAGAAGGGAGGCCAGCTGGTCTGTCCCTGGGGTTCTTCATGAGTCGCTGGGCCCTGGGGAGGTACTTAACCTGCCCCCTGGACTGCACCCCAGCCAGACCAATCCGAGGGCCATTGTGACGCCTGACTCACCATCCCATCCCATCCGTTTTCAGTGAGTAGGGGGTGGTCCCCATGTTCCCCCGTTTCCCTGAGGCAGTGATGGCTCATTTTGGGGAGACATGAGGCTGCAAACGAGGCCTTTTGTGGGTCTGGATGTGGGTGCCTCATGCAGGCCACTCATTAGCAGGGAAGCAGCCCCAGACACCCCTGCGGAATACAGGGCGCGAAGGAAGAGACGTAAGTGGGAGCTGGGAGCGCGGGTCAGGGTAACACGGGGAAGCTGCCGGTGGTCAGCAGCCTAGAAGGATGTGCCAGCCTACAGGTTCCCTCCCCAAGTATCTGGGGAGAAGGAGTCAAATGAAGCCCTAACCTCTATTGCTGTCTGAGGGCACGGGCTGGTCACCCCAAACTGATAACCCCCAAGCACTCCCCTTCGTGGCTGAGACCTTGGGCCTGTGGAGACCACCACAGGTTACAGCGGTGCTTTTTGTTTTTAACTGTTTCTCATATGTAGCAACCCCTCCTCCCCTCCTGGGCATGTTTACACAGGCTCCCCTCCCTGGGGCTGGCCTGGCTGCAGCGTTTCTGGGCAGGCAGAGAGGCAGGGACTTCGGGGCCTTAGTCACCATCCTCCTTATCACCTCATCTCTCTTCCTGGGAGGGAAGGGGCCTGTCTCCTCCTGATGCGGGACTGCCTTCCAGCGTTCCCTGTGGCCTCCTCTGCCCCCCGGGGAGGGGGCTGCTGGCTGAGGAAGGGTCAAGGTGGGTCAGGGTGGGGAGTGACTACTTCCCAAAGCCTGGCTCCTTGGGCTTGGTGCCAGGTCAGAATGCTGGGAAACTGGGTTCAGAGAGCCTGTCACCCACCTGCCAGTCCTCCTTCCTGTGGCCTCCACACACAGTCACCCTCACCCATCACACCAGCCACGCCATCCTTTCTGGGCCTGGCAAAGTGGGGAGAGCAGTAGCCCCAGCCCCAGGCCCAGGTTCGATGAAGCCTAAGGCCAGGGTCCTGGGGAGCAGAGCGCCCGGAGGGGGCCATGTCTGCTTTCGGGCCTTGTCATCTCATGCCCCACCTCTTCCGGCTGGGACTTGACCTCCTGGCTCTGAGACAGGTCCAGTTCCGGCCAGCAGCCTGCCCAGAGGCCTGTGTGCACCTGGGTCTCCTGCCTGCGTGGTTTTCTGGCTTAGCGGCAGCAGCATCCGTAGACCCATGTTCTGGCCTCTGAGCGCAGGGAGTTCCAGCTGGGCCTGCAAACTGACAGCGTTGTCCGAGCGCCACTGTGTTGACATCCCCACTTCCCTTGTTCTCGGGGAGACACCCATGTGAGGGGCCGGGAGGCCCTCCGGAGTAGCAGGGTGGGAGCAGGGAGGTCTGCCCGGGGCCAGGCAGGGCTGCCGTGGTGCTAGCTGCAGGTCCATCAGTATTGCCCTCTGGGCCCACGTTGGTGCCCCCGAGTCCTAAGTTTCTGACCAGGGGAGAAACTGGGTGTGCTTGGCCCCAGGCCTGGTGATGGCGGACTGCCTGATCCCTGGAGTTTGTGCTGGGCTGAGTGTAGTGCTAGACTTTGTCCTTCCTCTTCTTCTCATGCCAGTATTGCGCCTCCTCTTTCACTTTTACACTCCGTCTCATTCCTGTTCTCACTTGTTCCCTGAAATGAATAAAGTCTCTCCAGCTCCAGTTGTATGTGCTGGGCAGAAGCCACAGCGTGCAAACCTCCTCTCCTTTCCTCTGGGAGCTGGGGCGGGAGCCCTCCCCGGCGGACACTGTCAGCTTCGGTGGGGAGAACTGGAGAAGGGGTGAGGAGGGCCCCACACCAGCCAACAGGAAACCTCGCAGCCCCTGCAGTGGGATGAAAGTTCTGGGCTCCCAGACGGTCGCCCCTCAGAGTGCTGGAGCCACACAGCTCTTGTTATTATAATCCTCATCTGGGAGATCTTTCCCGCTGGCCGTGAATGAACCCCTTCTCCCTCACACAGCCAGCTTGGTTGGTCCCCAGAGGCCAGAGGATGCTCCCAGGATGCATTCCAGAGCCCTGCTCTTCCTGTCCTAGTCCCCAGTGGGAACAGGGGGAAGGGTGAATGTTCTCCTGGGAGATGAGATTATTTCAGGAAACCATAGCAACAGCCATCTGAAGTCCCTTCTCATCACAGTCGCCAGTGCAGAAACTATGGTGGTTAAAGCCACAGCTTTGGAAAACACGTCTGGTTCCATCTGTGACCTCTTCCTCTGCATCATTGCTCCAGCTCGGACCTCTTCCCTTGTTTAAGACGAGCCCACACAGTCGCAAGCAGCTTGCACAGAGACAGCTTTTAGCCACGGCAGCATTTTTCACCTTTAACCCTTCCTCCCCACTTGCCTGCTCGCCTTTCATTCAGTCAGAGAGTAAAACCTAGACTGACCAGAGGAAGTTGAATATTTCCTACCTCTTATCCCAGCCAAGCCCACAAAGTCCTAACTAGAAGTGCAGTTTAGCACACAGCGAAACTTCCTCATTTTCAGTAACGTGGTGGTGACGCATGGCAACTGAGAAGGGAGGCAGTCCATCGGAATCCACAGACGTCTTGGACTGCACACCATTAAAGAGAGGCAGTGTTGTTACTGACAGACAGGCTCATTCAAATCCAGCTTAAACAATACAAAAAGGGGAGGGGGGCTTTCATTAAAGGTAACCAGGCTTTAGGACTAACTTGGATTATACACCTTTACACAAAGGCAGTGTTGTCATTTATACATTCAAGTCCAACTAAAACACCAAGTAAAGGGTCTCGTGGGTGGGCTTCGGTGGGAGGGACTCACAGCAGGCCCTGGGCTATCCTCCTGCACATGAGGGCTGGGTAAGGTCAGGGGCAAGAACCTGTCATGAGGCAGGCAGGTTCAGCGTGGCCATGCTTGACCACTTTCTGAGACTTGACACAGGGTAAGTGTCATGGTGGGCTCCAGGGGGATCAGCACCCCACATACTAGGGCTTTCCTCATTTCCTGCTTCCCTGTCTTTCAGGCTCACAGCATGTGCCTGCCTCATTTAGGCACACGACTAATTTGGGCTGGACCTTTGGATGCAGGTAGCACTTCTCAGAGCCCTGAACATGAAGGGGTTGAAGCTCTGCTACCCCATCTGCCAGGATCTGACATCTTGACCACTATGTAGAGGGCATGACGACAGAAAGCGGCGGTCATACCAGACCGGCCCAGATGCAGGCTGCCTGGTAATCCTTAGTGTTCGCCAAGGGGATGAGGGGACAGCTGCTGAGGCCTATCAGGCAACAGAGACGGGCCACCTCAGGTCAGCTGAAGGGGGGCTCCGAGGCCAGCCCACTTGGGAATGCACCCTCCCTCAAACCTGCAGCCAGAAAGGAGTTGGTCGTGAAAAGGCAAAACCTCCAAGAAGTCAAGTTTAGAGACTATTCCTCTCCACGGCCGGGGGAGGCCTCAGGCCGTGGGAGCAAGGAGCTGACTAGGGGCACATGCAAAGGCGAGTTTCCTTCGAAACACATTGAATTCACGTTCTCCTCACTCGGAGGACATCTGCACCCTACCAGGCTCTCATGTGGCTGACCCTTGCCTGGAGCAGTTTTTTGGTTGGTTTGTTTGGTTTGGGGTTTTTTTGCACATTTGCTCAGGAGGGGAGAGAAACAGAGGAAGTGCACCAGGATGAGTCTGGAAGTGGAAGGCTACAGGTCAGCTCGCCGCCCCCACCATGGAAACTAGAGGCGGTGGGTCCCTCCTTTCTCCCGCCAAGAAGAGAAGCCACACTTTGCATTCATTAGGTAACCAACCAAAAAACAATCCTCTAGTTAGTAGCTACACCAGGGCAAGAACTGGAGAGAAAGACAAGAGTTTAAAAACAAAACCCAGCAGCAGCAGCCTGGCTGGTGGTTTCCCTTCTCCCAGGCCCGCCCCACGTGTCTGCCTTACAAGACAACCTGCGTCTCCTACTCCTGGAAAGGCTGTGTTCTGAGGAGCTTGGGGTGGCAAGAAAAGTAAAGGAGATCCTCCATGTACCTCTTTGGGGTCTCTGTTTCCTCAGATGTAAAGGTAATGAACGAATAGGAACACCTGAACTGCCCCATCAGCGCTACCATCTGCTCACAGTGGAAGGGGAAGCACTGTGGAAACTTGATACAAAGTTTACAGGACTCAGGCGACCAGCAGGAAAGGGGTCCCTGGGGATACTCCTCAAAGCTTAGGCGCTCTAAAATAATTCCCAGCCCATAGGCCAATCGTCCAGCCTGGCTCTGGAGAACCATACACCCTCAACTCCCACCAATAATGCTCTGGAATTCTTAGCAACCCTTGCTTGCAAAGGCCAAACACTGCAATTTCAGATTGGAAAATTCCTCACAAGTGGAAAAGATTATTACTTTAATTTCCATTTCACCAAGATATGTGAACTGAAACACAGGGGTTAACTTACCCAGTCACCAAGTGGCCGGCCAAGGTGACAAACGGTGTTCCTGATACCAGGCCTCTTCTTTCCACTGAATCCCAACCCAGGTGCTTCAACAGAAGCTTAAATCACTCAGATTCTCAGACACTGACTCCGAGGTGTGGGGTCTGGGGTCTGTTCAGGTAAGGCAGAAAACCACCCGTTTTCAGAGCTTCCCACGGATGGGCATCGGGGCTGGGTGGACTTGACGCTTAAGGAAGCTGGAGGACGACAAAAGAGCCAGCAGAGCGAGGCCCAGGGAAGGAAGAGAAACCTTTCCAGCAACAGATGGCGCACAGCTCAGCCCTGGCTTCAGAATGCAAAAGAGACGATCAAAAATAGACGCTCAGCAAGAGACATCTGCCACACGTACCATGCCTCATGCGGCTGCCATAGCTTTCTCTGACCAGGAAAACACTTCTCATCCCACTTTCCACACAGACGCTCCTGAAATGCAGTGTGGATGGGGCAGGGGGTGGGGTAGGGGCGGAGGAGGAAAGGTACGGCGGCGGCAGCAGACGGAACGAGAATGAAAGCAGCTGAAAGAGCTATCCTCTAGCGTGACAGGATGGAGAGAGAGCTGCACCGCCACAAAGTCCGGGCAGGAGGCTTCGCTCCAGCCCTGCAGCCCTGCCCAGGCCTCAGAGCAGTGGGAGTCTGCCTCAGGGATCACAGGGAGACTCCAGCGCCTTTTTCTCGTCTGGGTTTAGGGCTTGACACCCCATCCCAGGATCCCTCTCTCCCTCTCTCTACCTCATTTTCCGCCATGTCCTTCGGAGTCCTTATAAAATGACCAACAGCAGGGGGGGGAAGGTAAACATTTATTTGGAAAAGAGTTTAAATGATCATTTAAAACCTCCATTTCTAAAACAGAAACAAATAAGAAAACAAACAAAAAAAGATCATCCATTAAGCTACCTGCCCCCTGCAACCTTCAGCCATTCTTAAACTGCATTTCATTTCAGGAGAGAATAGCGATGGGCCTAATCCTAGAAGCCAATAGGGCACCGTCTGGAGATCCCGTCAGCAGGTGCCCAGGGAGAGACAGAGTGAATGGTGGGCTGTAGACAGACAGGCCTGGGGCTCAGACAGGCACATGCCCAGTACCTAGGAAACAATGTTATAACCACAAATGCAGCAGCAGAATTCAAGCTGGGTCTTTGGCTTTCAAAAAAAAAGAGGAAAGGCTAAATGTCCCTAACTTGAGCCTCGCACCTCTTCCTTCAGTCTTTTCTGGACACCAAGTGAGGCATCAGCAAGTCAAGTCGGCCAGGGCCAGTGGCTGAGTTAACTCTGAGTTAAGGGAGATACGCGGAGGAGCTGGCCCAGGAACACCCCAGGCCACCCCCCAAGCAACAAAAGATTAAGGCATGTAGGTGACAAGTGTGGGCACGGGAGCCCCCTGAATGGGCCAGGGTGCCCCTGTGCTAGGAGAGGGAAAGCAGAGGCAATAAGCAGCAACTCCTCAGTGCTGCCACCTGGACTCCTTGAATCAGTTTTGCCCAAGGCCACCTTTCTGCTGAGAAGGTTTGGCTGAGCGAAACAGCAGGTTTTTAGGGAGAGAATGGGAGGAAATGGAGGAGGCAGCAAAAAGTAAAAGGTGGGAGGAAAGGAACAGAAAACTGCTTCTTAGGTGTGCAGAGGAAAGAGAACAAGTCCCTGAGGTGGTGAATCCTCGCTGAGGCAGCTGCACAGCCTGCTGGCTCTTTCCCCTACTGGGGTTTCCACCTTTGCCCCAGTTCTGCTAGCTGCAGAGTCCAGTGTGAAAGAGTTTCCTGAAGGTTCTTTCTCATCAACCGTAAAGAGTTTTTAATCTCTAACCACTATCCCAGCCCACTGACCCCCACACAGGGGTCCACACTTTTGCCTTCCTCAGGGCAGTCCGGGGAAAGGGTCCAGCCCTGGAGAAAGCATGCCAGGCCTGTGGGGTGCTGTGGGTCAGAGACTCAGAGGCCTCTGGGCAGGTAGGGTCTCCCCGAATCT